TTGGGACTTGTCTGCTGTACCTTCCCAAAACTGATCGCTTTGGCCGTTTTACCAGAAAACGAGCAATCCTTTTTGAGACAGCCATTCCCCACCACCACATCCCAATCAACCACCTATGCTTGATGGATGAAGGGTGCAATTTGTTGTGGCAGCTGCCCGTATCACTCAAATTGAATCGGAAAACCAATGGCAAACTTCAAAAAATCCAAAGCAAACACTTTTTGGGATTTGTGTCCGTTTGATGGTTTTTGTGGCCGTTTTGATCGTTTTCAGGCTGTTTTGCGGCAATTTATGCGTTTCGACAAAAAGAAGCTATGTCACTCAGGAATGTGGTTTCACACTCAACACGAGGCATGAAATCTGCAGTAATTGCCCAAACAAATGATTTTCAGCCACCTTCAAGCTGCCGATGGATGCTGGATGATGCTGTCATCCCCCCTTGCCCATCATCAAACGTCAAAAATAAAAAAAAAATGCTGAAGCATTCGCTTTGGCAATTTATAAGTCAAATCCCACTTTTTCTGGGCGATCACATCCGAAAGTGGCAAACAGGCGAAACACACAATAATTCTCGGGATTTCGGAGGTCCAGGGAAGTTATAGAATGTATCCCAGAAGTATCTCTACGATCCTCTATAGATATCCTGTTTTACCATTATCAACTGGGTTGCCTTTATACTCCAAATAATCCCATCCCCTACTTTACCATCTTTACCATGGTTTCTGGGTGGTGTTTCGTATGAAACGGGATGGGAGTTTCGATTCTATAGTTCGTAGGTCCCAAATAAAACTATTTCATAGGTTATACATCATTGACTGTTAGATTATTCCCGTCAAATTCCCATTCATATGGTATATCCAAAAATAAACCATGCATGCTAGTAGGTTCTCCCCTGGCAGGCCTGGAAACATGGTTTCATATATGTCAACTGATCCTATCCTGAAATTTGTATTTTCTATATTTTCAGCTAGAGGGCAATGAAATTTCACTAATTTTGGCTCTCGTTGACATGTGTCCCTTAGATTCACCTTGAAATTTGAAAAAAAAACACATTTTCAGCTAGAGGGCAATGAAATTTTACTAATTTTGGCTCTCGTTGACATTTGTCCCTCAGATTCTACCCTGAAATTTGAAAAAAACACATTTTCAGCTAGAGGGCAATGAAATTTTACTAATTTTGGCTCTCGCTGACATTTGTCCCTGCAGAATCAAGGCAGTGTAGCAAAACTGAATTAGATTCTGCTACGGCACCGTCGGACTAAAGCAATTTCAGCTTTTTTCTTGACTGCATCAGCTGCCCAGCTGCCCCAGCCCTTCCAACAACATTGCCCTGGCCCTGGGTTTTGGTTTTGGTCAATTGCACAGAAAAAAACCCTACGCCCACAAACCGCCAGCACAACAAACCAAAAAAAACTCACAATTTTGCAGTCCTGAATGCGCGCAAAGAAAGAACATCTAGTCAAAACTCAAAACTCAAAACTTTAAACTTTAAACTTCAAAACGCAAAGCCACAAAAGGCCTCGGCATTCTTTCAGCCGGTCCCGGTCCCGGCGCCCCGGCGCGGTCAATGGAATTTGTAATGGAATGGAATGGGTGGCATGCACGCAACGCAAGACTTTTTGGTCTACCTGGTGCTGGTGCCGTGTCGTACGGTAGCCTGGCTTAGGCTCTTTGCAATCGTACCCGTTGCACAGCAACCCCTAAATGAGGGGACAAATCCGATCGGTCATCGGTAAGTCTTTCTGAGTATTCGTTCCATGCAGCCCAATTGGTAGCTGAGACATAGAAATGGTCCTCAGCAGAAAGAAAAACGAATGTTCCAGATTCCGTCCAACTGTACCTGTGTACCAGGAACGTCACGACCAGCAGTGGAGTGGAAAACAGCGTATCGCATCGACTGTCATCAAAAGGGAATTGGAGGATTCGGAGGGCCTCTTGAGGCCGAGTATTAGCATCATCAATGATGTCGTCATTGTCATCCAGACAGGGGTCATGACTGTCAAACATGACCAAAATATGAACTACGTTGGGTGAAATTTCCCACACGGTCACACGGAGTAGTTTGGGTTTGGACCAAACCAAACTGCCCGAAACAAACAATCGAATCTTAAACAAACCCTGATGCATTTTCAGTTTTCACTACTCCTTTCTTCTTCTCGCTTCATTCAAACTCAAAGACTCAAACCTTATCTCATCTCATTCTCAAATTTCCATCATGCCATTTCCGTTTTCGTTTGGGAGAGGAGGAAATAATAAATAAAGGAAACAGGAGACAAATGACCAACATCCAAAAATAGTGACCCAGGTTCATTCGCTCTGAAATCAAATCCAATCTGCAACTGCCACGGAATGAATGTAAAGCAGATTGCGTTTTCTCACTTGTCTGCGGTTTCTATCATGCGATACTGAACTGAGCGAGCACCTCAAGGACAAATTCAAGTCTCTTGAGACTCTTGGGAAAGTTACTGGCATTGAAAAATGGAACATCGAGCTTGCAACCAGCCCAGTGACGAATTAAGAGCTGCTTAGTCCGCAACCACATTTTGAATTTGCGAGCATTCCTCAGCATCCTCATCCTCACTCACTCACCATCGCCATATTGCACGGCGAACCAGAGCTACGCATGGTTGTCATTGCTGCCACAGCCACAATCGCAATTGGGACGCTGGAAAAGTGTGGGGCGATCCTTCAGCCACTCTGAAAGAGCAAAAAGCAAAGCGACTCTCGACTCTGATTCTGCTTCTGCTTTGGCAACTGCAAGCTCTCGCAAGGCTTCGCGGGCTTTCTGAGCAGAGGTTTCAAAAGTTCGCTTTGAACCATCCAGCTCTGGCAAATCTGGGTCTAAAACACCCAAGGCTGCAAACTTGGCTTTGAGGCCCATGATTATTTTGGAACGTTTCTGCGCCCGGAGATTGCTGCCATTGATCATCTGGTCCTCAGTCATGTCCATGGAAATGGAATCCATGACAATGGCTCACTGAGCTGGCTTTTTGCCCAACCTAAATCTTGATGAGAAAACCGGCGCAGTGCAAACTGCAAACATGGTAGATGGTTGGTTGGACGGTTAGAATGTCACTGAAACTGAAACTGTTCAAGTTCAAGCAAATGGACCCCCATGTTCCCCAAGACTTGAATCAAAGGTGAAAACTGACAACACTGACAAGTACCTGGACCTGAGATATTAATAATATCACATGGAATGGAACGTTTCCATCAGTTTGGAAAAAAAACATCTCCACGCCGCCATAATATTTTTTCCGATTCCTCACTCACAGGCGACGCGGTGAGCCTGTTAAAGATTCTTCCGTCACTGGTTTTCACAGGTGACGCGGTGAGCCTGTTAAAGATTCAAGGCTTCTTAATAAGGGTCAAATTTCCGGCGCTGCATTTCAGCGCAAATTCCATGGTCACCGGTCAAAATCACTGTCCAAGGCTTATCTTTTATTAAATTATAATTTTTGGGTTGTAGTTGTAATGTATCCGTATCCAATTTTATGGGATGCCTTTGGCCTTTGGAAAGTGATTTCTCAAAATTAATAGCTTGCAAGTTGCAAGTTGCAAGTTGACAAGCAATTCCGTAAGGCCTTGGGCCTTGGGCCGGCCAAAACAAGTCCATCTCCAAACTTTAAACTCCAAAGACTCCAAAGGACTCCGACTCCAAAGGCGGCCAAAGGCCAAAGGCCAAAGTGGCCTTTAACTGATGGCCTTATTGAAATTGAAATTTGATTTGGGGGAGCAGCGTATCGCCCCTCCAGCAGAAATCCAAGGCATTCTCTTGGTTTTCATGGCAAAGCCATTGAAGGAGGCTTTCAATTTCATGCCCCTCAAAAAGAATCTCCTGCCACCAGCCGAAGCTATCCTGGGGTGCCCACAGTCTGCCATCTTCATAGACAAAGCCATCAATGCGAAGATGAGAGATCAGGAACTGGCGTGGATCATCGAAGAATTCGCGATGGTCCACCTCATGACCATCATGATCCTTCATTGACAACCACAACGCATTCATGATGCTCAAAAACACCGGCATGTAGGTGTCCATGCCATCGCCAGTGCGCATCGTCTCTGCAATCCATGCTTCCACAAAGGATCCCAGTTTGCAGCGATTGGCCATCCAGCTCTCCCATCTTGGAACGCACAGCCGGGCAAAGGCCTGACAAGCTTGCGCTCTTTTCAAGAGGTGTTTAAAACCACTTTCCCACACAGTAAACAATTAATGCATTCAAACAAACATGTCGCGTGTAAACATTTTTCAAAGCCGGTCATAGCCTTATAGTGCCAGGGACCCCATGGCATACGGGCTTTGTCATGGTAGTCCAGGTGCAACTCCTTCACACTCGTCCGATCGTGCCTAAGATTGCGTGCGGTCACACTGACGTAAGCTTCAAAGCACGCTTGCACATTTTGCATGTTTGAGGTTCCTAAAACTTTTCGAAACACAAATCATATGTCATAGAAACATTGTGTTTAAGATATTCCAGTGCCAGAATGCAAGTCTTTCCACTGATTGTAGAATTCAGTGCGCCAAGCCATCCTTTTGAACGTAGCCAAATGCATCATCAGCTGTAAGAAGAAGGTCCTCAACTTATTTCCATTGAAATTGGCGGCGAGGAAGTCTCTGCACTCCATGGCTGACGTGGAACTTGGAACTGTTTGGATCCGGAAAAGCTGAGAAAACCGGCGCAGTGCAAACTGCAAACATGGTTGATGGTTGGACGGTTGGAATGTCACTGAAACTTAAACTGTTCAAGCAAATTGACCACCATGCTCCCCATAACTTTTTTTTAGCAGTGGCTTGCTGGAAAAATGAGATTTGGCCCTGGTCCAAAAATGCCAAGGACGTCCGTACGACCGTAGGAGCATGGGCCAAAAGCCTATGGCAACTCAGGCAACTCCTTCGAAGCCTGCAGCCTATGCCCCGGATTTTTCAAAAAGCCCAAGACTTTGTCAAGGCTCCCAAAAGCCTATGGCAACTCAGGCAACTCCTTTGAAGTCTGCGGCCACTATGCCCCGGAGGAAGTAGATGTTTTCAAAAAGCCCAAGACTTTGTCAATGCTGCTTGTGTTTGCTCCGGCATCGTTCATCCCTTTCTGGATGGACTCCAAACGAGAAGCGCAGCCAGAATCCAACGATGATGCCACAGCTCCGCGACTGAGGAATCCAAAAACATCCGAGTCGCAAAGAGACCGCTCCACGAAGAACATGCCGGCAGGCAAGTACAGCAAATCATCGGGCCCTTGAGTCACGACGTACAATTCATCATTGTCCACCAACTTCTGGATCTGGGAGTCTGAGCAATTGATGAAGAATTTCCAACAATTCTGGGGAGTCATCTGCGAGGCTGGGATGTGAGCCTCAGCCATCATGCCCATGACGAAATCAGCGGAAGCCATCACCAAGCAACGGAAACCTTGCACCAAGTAGCGAAGGGAAGCCAAATTATCTGGCTCAGCTCCGGACATGAAGCCATCAGACTGCACGCCAAAGATCTGCACACCGCTCGAAGCAAGATCTGGGAGGTGGCAGAAACCTTGCAAGGGAATGATGCTGCTGAAAGCTTCAACTGCCTCGGCAACTGTTTCAGCCGGAAGCTTCGCGGCAGCCCTTGTCTTCATTCTCTTGTCAGCTGGCTTTGCCGCATCCTATAACACAATCTTTTACTCGGCAAAACATGTTGGACGTTGGATAAACAGACCTTAAAAAAAATAAAAATGTAATCTACTCATGGAATGGAACGAAAGTTTGGAGAAATAAAAACTTGAAAATCAGCTGGGCCCTGCCCTGTCCTGCTGAACTTTGTGCGCAAAAGCGTGCTTGAAGGTCTGAAGGGCAGATTTCATGGTCTCACTATGGAAGACTTGCTGCTGATCGTCCTCCGCCTTGATCAAGAAAGGCATGCTCCAACTGCCCATTGCGATGAACTTCTTTTCATTCTCAGGGTCGGACAAAATCTCACTGAGCTTGGACTTGGTCATGTGGGAAATCTGGCTTCCCTTCTCCATGCCCATCTCAATGATCAAAGGCAAACTGTCCTTACCCTTCTTGGACTTTGCGGCACCTCCTGATGGAACTCGCTTGGATAATCGAGTCCCAAAAGCAGTGATCGCCTTCTTCAACTCAGCAGTGGCGACTCGGGTTGCAGACGCTAGCTCTACCAAGGGCTTCCGCTCAGCGGTTCTAGCTTTGGCTTGTTCACGCCTGACATGCTGCAACAGGCCAAGGGAAGCGAAACCCCAGGCTCCAGACTGCACAACAATGTCTAGAAACATGATCAAAGAAAAAAAATATATATCGATGTCGACTCGATAACGTCGATAACGTCGATAACCAATGAACAATGAAATTAAATGAAATCCAAGAAACAACTCAGCAGAGGAATTGCAACCCCAGTAAGACTGGATGTTCTTGCGGAGAGTCCCGATGGTCAGCAACGATTCATAGCTCGAAGTAGGAGGCATGTCCGCCACCGGCTTTGACGGCGGCACCGTTGCAGTCTCCTCTTGTGCCGACTGCGCTTCCTTGAGGCTGCGAATCTTGTGAGACAAAGCATATTTATCCTCACCCAAAACCAAGTCAACAAATGCAAGCCGACGTATCAAAAGGTTGTGCTCGACTGCCACCTCAGTTTGGCATTCTGCGCTCTTCACCTCAAGTTCCTTGGTCACTTTCTCTGCATCCTGCTTCTTGGTGTTGATGCTTCTTTCCAAATCCTCAAGGGCAGAAAGATCGCTGCGGATCTTCGCAGCCACAATCCTTTCCTTGTCCCATGCCTGCTTCTTTCCCTTGCCTTTGCCTTTTCCCTTCTTCTTGGCTCCATCTCCCAACTCTTCGTCACCATCTCCACCCTGGCCTTCTTCAGAAACTTCAGGAGCAGGTTCATTGCCATCTGGTGCGATCTCTGCAACATTTGACAAGCATTCCAACTCCTTCCAATTCACCTCTTGAAAGCGACCCTGGAACGCAGAGGAGCCATCACCTGCCACCGAAGCAGAGCAAGAAGCAGATCCTCGCACCAGGTGCCCAGCCACACACGCAGAGGAGCTGTCTGCAAGGCCGTCATCGCCAGCAAACATGCGGTCATGGTCCATGGTGAGCTCCTTCCGCTTCTTTGCCAAACCTTCTTCTGTGATCTGTTTGCAATCTTTCTCCCGCACCTGCAGCTTCTTGCTCTTCTCAATCTCCTGACGGTTTATGTCAGTGATCATAAAATTTTGAAATTCTGCACGCTTTCATGAACCATCAAGAACTTTGAAGAAACATAAACTTATCAGATCATAAAAAATGCCAAAGGGCAGTAGAGCCTACGCCTACAACAAATACCTCATCAAGCCGAGAATCAGACTGGAAGTGGACCGTGTCTTTGGTGGCAACGGCGATTCGGAGTCCACGCTTGTAGTCGAAAATGAGATCTTCGGGAGGATCCTCAGACTCCACCTGGCACTTCCACTCTGCCCACTGGGCAGTCGCTGCTGCCTTGGACAATCTGCCGCCAGCCTCCGTCATAGCGAACTGCTGCCAGGCATCTTCTGTCATCATTTCCATCTCTGTGTCATAGAGAACTCTGGACTTGGCAGCTGTCTCCTGGAGAGTGGACATCAAGCTGCCTTTGAAATTCCTTTTCCGAGCAATGCCATCTCCTGTCTGGTCTTTGTACTTGCGGATTACGTTCTGAAGAACTTTCTCATTGGACTTGATCTCAGAAATCCATTCAGGACGTCCCTCAGATTTTGCCAACTTTGTCAGCACATCCATGCAGTACTTGCATCTGAAGCAGAATGCGCTCTTGGGTGCCATGTCTTCAGGGCTGTAGTAGAGGCCATCACCTTTGCAGTATCTAGAGTTGGTTTTGCTAGCTTTCTTTTGGCCTTTTCCTTGAGCTTTGGTCCTGCTTCCTGTCGACGTCACGGAAGGTGCCATCTCATCTTCAAGTTCAGCCGCAAGAACCATTGCTTGTGACGAAGGGGCATCAGAAGCTAGCTGGTTCTTGTCATGCATCTTGCCACCCTTGCCCTTCCTACCCTTGCCTCTGCTTTTCGGTGGCGGAGGGGGCGGCATGCCCGAAGGTGAACTAACCTCACCAGGAGAGATCATACCAGCATCTGACTCCAGAACCAAAGAAAGTTCTGCATCTACTTGCGGGGATTCTGAATCCGTTTTCGTTTTCTTCAAGGGCGGCTCAGGATTCGGAAGTTCCTCGTCAGTGGGGTGCTTGGCCGCGGCCTGATCTTGGTGAGAATCAACATTTGCCACCTCCTCTGGGAAACCTTCTGCTTTCTGATCCATGGTTGCCATGGTATCTGGCGCTTCTTGGCTGTCCTGAGTCCCGAGATTCTCAGCAAACGCATCTTCACTCATCTCCAAACTGCTTCGGTCCAAGCTGTCTGCAAGGGAGCACATGCAAAAAAGTCTGCGTGTGTCTGGGTCTCGAGGAAAAAGCTGCAATTTGCAACAATGTGAAAACGTTGACTGCAAATCAGGAATCAGGAAAGAATCGGGGATTGAAATTGAAACAGAGGAGAATGAGGGGTACCATGTCCAACACATACATGGCACTGTGAGGAATCAAATCACCATTGCTCATACAGATTCGCATTGTGCACTTTTTTCTTGTGGCTGAGAAATCAACCAAATCATCCACATGTTAATTAAAGGCTTGAACTGATTGTTTGCAAGCGTCATTAAAGAAGGTTCTACTGAAGCGCATTTCAAATCGGACCAGCTTCTGGTTCTACATCAGAGTCACTGCAGGGATTGTCCGTTTTGGACTGCTCTGCATCATGCATCAGCATGGCAAGCTTTCGTTTCAAATTGGGACGCTTGGGTTCCCAAGCAACAGTTCCCAAAATCAAAAGCAAACACTGGCCAACTACCCACAGGTTCATTCCATTGCCGGCCATCTTTCGCAAAGAACGATCCGCAAGGCCAGAATTCAAAATGATCTTTTGATACCAGTCATTGGGAGGTGGCAGAAAGAGAGGCAATGCTTGCATTGCCAAGAGCTCCAAAGCATGGACTGGTCGGGCATCATACGGGCTGTCCAGGTAATCAACAAAAAGCTTTGTGCTTGTCATCAAAGTTGGACTGCGGAGCTCAAGTGACAATCTCGGCTGGTACTCCAAATTCTGGGACGTGTTGTTGAACCAAGTCCTGGGTCTCAAATGACTAGACATCTGCCTAACCTGATTTCTTCGATCATGGACCAGCCTATTCTCTCGTCCGGTGAGCAAAGTATTCCAAGACCAGCGGTGAGCATCCTGAGCAGGCAAAAACTTCTTGACAGACAATCGTTCTTTTTCCTTCCGCAACACTTCTTCATCGGCATTCAGGAAAACAGATGCATCGCATTGAACTGAAGCAAAGCAAGCCGCAGTCCACAAATCACGATCGAAAGGCATCATCTTCTGATGTTGTTTGAGCAGCATCACCTTGGGCAAAAAGCGTTCACATTTTCAATTGTCTATGACATGTGAACAATGCACCATGAAAAGTAAATGAAATACGTTAGGTTCGTGGAGATGTATTATGGAATGCCCATCCTAGCCTGCTATTTGGAAACCTCTGGCTACAAAATTGTGGTTCCATTGTATCCCCAAATGATAATCCCAAGAAACAGATGTGCATTTAGGACCTTTATCAAAGGCAAGAAAGTACATCCTTTTTTGGCCTACCAAACAATCTCAAATCTCAAATACATGGTAGTTCATGGTAGGCAAGTTCTTGTGTCTTGTCCAAGAAGCTGTAAAGCGGCGTGGTCGCGCTACCGGTAGCCCGCAATCTTCTGGAGAGACAACAATTGTCTCCAGGGTATACTTGCTACCAACAAGCTCCTTCATTGACTCCCAATCAAAGCCTGAAACATTCTCATGCAGAATTGCATCTGGGCTGGGCTCGGCATTGAGTAAGCTGAAGAGCCATGCAAAGTAAACAGGACTGACTTCCGGGTGCAGCCACCTCAACTGACTTCCATAGGCAGCTGGAGTCCATGGGTAGCAAGGGCTGCCAGAACCACCTTCAACCCAAATGGAATAACTATCCAACATCTTCTTGCATGGAAATCGTTTGCACATTTTGTTGCACTTCACACAATATGCAGTCTCTTGGGGCGGATGGCTGCTCAGTAGATCCGCTGCAAATCTGCACACTTCCTTTCCGGCAGTAAGGATTCGTGCTTTCCTAGAAACCTTGTCTTTGATTTGCTGAACCTCTTTATGGCGCTCCTGCACATATTCCGTCAATAGCTGCATCACAGTGCTATCAAAACACTCCTTCACATCACGAAACACATGACAGCAATCCATCTTGCACAAAATGGACTGGCAGCTCACCTCTGAATCACATGCAGAGTAGTGGGTCACAGATGAGGGTCGGAAGAAACTTGTCATCTCCCGATGAGCCATTGTTGCTGCCATCTCAGCTGTGCCTAAACCAGAGAAGGTTGAGGTGAACACCATGTCTGGTACCCGTGGAACTGCTATCATCTGGCGCAACCTCTGCAGAGTCTGCGCCGGCCATGAAAAGAATTCATGCCAACTTGATGGACCTCCGTGAGCCATCATCTAAGAAGTTGCAATCCCTGCTGAAGCTTGAACAATCACAAATCACAAATGCAAATTTTCACAAATGGCTATGCACTGACTAAAACAGAAAGAAATATCACATACTGCATACAAATTCAAAAAATCTCTTTATTTATGAAAAAAATACAAAAAATCCAAAAAAACATATATATTTCACATTATTTGAAGAATTCAAGTGAAAATTTACATTTTTTGACAATTTCAAGGCAAAAATGACTAATATTTGATGAAATTACATGTTTTTTCATGAAATTCCATTTTGAAGAACGGATGCATAAACGGCCGAGGCAAGATCGAGGTAAGATCGAGGTAAGATCGAGGTAAGATCGAGGTAAGATCGAGGTAAGATCGAGGTAAGATCGAGGCAAGATCGAGGCAAGATCGAGGCAATAGGCAAAATCGAGGCAAGATCGAGGCAAGAGGCAAGATCGAGGCAAGATCGAGGCAAGATCGAGGCAAGATCGAGGATAATCGAGGAAATGCAAGTTTTTCATTTTTTCTACAAATTTATATAAAAAACATATAAAAAAGCCAAAAAATACAAGAAAATGAATTTTTCAATCAGTTTTTGATGATTTTTGATGAATTCAATCAAAACATACATTTTTTCCATCAAAAACGTGTTTTCTAATGATTTTTACTGCTTCAAATGCAAATCAAAGCCAACTGATGCTGACAACTGCACGAAATTGTCTCCAAATATACATGATCCATCGCGCAAAGATTTTTTCAGCTGAGCCGGCTCATCCACATCTCATTCAAATTCTTGTAAGGTCCAAGATCAAGATCCTGCAGGGAACGCGCAACGGAATGACTCGAAGCCAATGGTTTAGTAAAATCTACAACTACAACTGGGATACTGCAAACCAATTGTTTTGAAAATCGCGCCTTTGTCTGATTTTTTTGAAGCGGCTCTGCATGGTGAAGTGACCTTAGTGTCTTTTCTGATGCAAATGCAAACAAACGCTAAAGAAAACAAAACCATACGCACTTGAAAACAAGAGCCCCACATCGTAGTAGTAGAAATCACCGATGAAGCCGCTTCTATGTTCTCACTGCCTGACGTGGCTCATCAATTTAATCATGAATCTGAATCATAATCAAAAAGAAACAAACTGGCCCCGGCAGAAATCTGATCATTGGAAAAATCTTTGGCCTTGCCGCTGGCCAGCTACACTTCTCGAAGTGTTGAAAGACCTGCTGGGTGATTTGAAATGTCGAAGTGTTGAAAGACCTGCTGAGTAATTTAAAATTCACCTTGTCTTGGTCTTGAATCTTGAAACATGGCTGAGGATGCTGCTGGTCTTGCTCGGACACCTCTCTGTCAGTGCATCTAAAGGCAAAGTAGATGAATCATCACAACACCATTGCATTTTCAAGCACAAATAATAACCTCATTGGACCCTGTAGACACAAAGCAAGCTGCAGCTTGACTTGAAATGCATCCGATCCTGTGATCGTTTCAAAACATGACTGATGATTGGATCACAAAAAAAACTTGGCACATCAAAACGTTTCATCTTCGAGAAATGAAATTCATTTCAATGCGTTGATGAAAACTTTGCAGATTTCATAAAGTGAAAAACAAACATATATAATATCCAAGATAACAAAAGTATATAGGTGCACACATATACAGGTCGCTCGGGTCTCGGCGGTCTCGGCATTCTTGCAGCCGGTCCGGTATGTGCATCTAAAGTAGTATAAACATATAGGTGCACACATATACAGGGCGCTCGGGTCTCGGCATTCTTGCAGCCGGTTCGGTATGTGCATCTAAAGGCAAAGTAGATGAATCATCACACAAAAACTAAAACGTATGGTTAAGGTCTGCGCTTGAACTTGTGTGAGAGGAGGCACCAGCCTGCTGAAAGACTTCCATAGCTTGAAGTTGCTCTTTAATCAAACACGATACTAAACCATGCAACTTGCAATATAACCTTCTCTTCATGAACACGTAGTTCCATTATGTACAAAATATGAAAATAGATTGCTAAGGATCTGGCTGGATTGGAAAGAGGCAAGAGCTTTTGGGCGGACCCAATTGAGGTGTCGGCGGCAATGGCTGTGCCACATCAGCGCAATCTGATTCACGAAACCTCCAATGGATGAAAATCAGAATGATACCAAAACTTCGATGTCAAATGTTGCAACATGTTGCAACTCAATCAAACAAGTTTCATACACACAAGTCAGAGGCTCTGAGGTGAGTGCTGTCTTTTGACACAATCATTGGGACAATCATTTGAAGCATGTTCAGTTGGCTGAACATTTTCCGGAGCTGCATTCTGAGCATTCTGGGAAGGTGGCTGCGGCTGCGGATGTCTTAACATGCGTCTGCGTTGACGGGCAAAGTATCCAGTTCTGGAGGCCCACTTGGACCACTCCTCATCAGTCCACTCGCCATTGCTCCGTTTACGAGACATGAGCTTTAAGCTGGGCTAGTTCACACTAATGTGTAGATTGGGATACGAAACGCATAGCATGAACAGCTTGCACGTTTTCCTTGGAAACAAACACTACCTGAATTTGGGCCGTTAAGTTGCAAACAAACATTTGACGAAAAGAAAGCCTCAAAACTTCCCCCGAGAATCTGCAAATCTGAACATGATTCGAAAATTTTCTCGTAAACGATAATCTGCAAATCTGAACATGATTGGAACATTTTCTCGTAAAGCGGACGAATCATAATCAAGAACTGGAGCTTCCTGACTGACTGCTGTCACTGCTATCACTACCACTTCCGGAAGTGCTGCTGCTGGAACTTGACGATGAGTCACTTTGCTTGTCTTTCCAGGCAGTTGACTAGAGGCTGCTCCT